AAAACAGTTTGTTACCTTAGCTGAGAAATGGTAACTAGCAAACATCAAAATCCTAGTAAAGAAAAGGCACAGGTTGTGATGTTCATATATTAACAAATAATAATAAATGAATGAGCAAAGCATACAAGTGTTCACCTGTGGAAAGATATTTAGTACAGGTCAGGTTTCTGTCTGTTAAGAGAAACTATTTGTTGAAGTGAAGTTAGATAACTCATCCCAGTTGTTACATGGCAAGAAAGAACCTCTTCTCCTGGTGAAGATATCACCTGGGAATGAGTGATATTTAACCTGTATCTCTGTAAGAAATATGTGCTTTGCAACCATTGCTCCTCTTGTCAGTTTTAACTGATCTATGTTAAAATCCCATGGAAAAGAACACAACAACAGCATTTTAGTTCTCTCCAACAAAAAAAAAAAAAAAAAAAGAAAAAACAGAACAAAATTAAATCAAATAGAATAAAACAAAGCCACTTTTAGCAGGAAAGATAATGCCTAAGAAGTTGATGCAAGGAAAAGGTATATGTTTAAAGATAAGAACAGTTTATTTAAATTCACTACATTCATATTCAAACATAATTTTAATATAAATCTTAAAAAACACAAAGCCCAAATCTAAGAATTGCAGAGAAAGCGTTACAATTCTTAAGCAAGGAAGCAAAAAGGATGATCAGCAAAAGATGTTATAGTTTCTTTATTTAATAACGTCTCTAGTATTCTCATTTGATGTTTTTAAGTAATTTGATTTTGAAGTACACAGATAATGATAATTTTACATGCCAGTGTCCCAATTAAATCTAGATTTCTCTTCAATTTATACAATACATTAAACCACAGTTGACTTGAATTCAATGACACTGTCATATTTGAAACTGATTCTAATATCTCAAATGTGGTTTTGGAGACTGTTACTCCCTGAATGTGAATACCAAAAAAATAACCTGGTTTTACGTTTTTGTGGTCTTACCGAAAACAGTCCAGTTGAGTTGCTAGATTAAAGATAATTTTTTTTTAAATTGCATTTAAAAAAGTGAATACACTTTTCAGTCATATGATATGAAAATGTTCCAGCCTATATAACTCCTACTGCCTACTTTCAAAAAATTCCCTTGTTCTGAAGTCAGTTCAGTGCCTGTTAGAAGTAGTCACTGATGTAAATTCCATCTTGTTTATGAAAACATTTTGAACAAAGCATTGATTGTCCAGGGTTTATAAAAAAAATTAAAACCTATAAAATTTTGGCATCACTACTATTTGGGGCATGAGAATGACATGCATATAAATCATAGTTTATTGGTACAGTCTTTTACACACAGAAAGAAGGCTTTGCTGAAAATGGAATTCATCGATGTACTGTAATTCCTCTCTTTTATAGGTTTGGTTTTGAATTATTCTGAATCGGGGAAAAAAAATGAAAAAATCTTAGTGTACAGTGGGAATCAGGGGCATAGGAAGTCTTTTACGACATGGGTTAGCTATGGTAAAGGGGCAGAGTAGGCAGAGTTTGGGGAAATCAGAGTGGATGGAAAGACCTTGGTGTGAAGCTTTGGGAGGGAAGGTCATTTGTGTAGCTGATGTCCCTCCTGATGAGATGCAATCTCAGCCACATCTCTATTAGCCCTGGGGGCAGTAATCTGTTGCTCCATTTTGTAGGCAGGAGTCCTGCTACCACCATTTAGGAGAGGCAACATTTTACTAAAGGCTTTCACAGGATAACTCTCTCCCTTCCTACCCATCATGAGGTGGGTGAAAGAGGCCTTTTACATTGACAGATTTTCCTTTTAACAGCAGGGGATTTTTCTCATGACATTTTGGCAAACCTTGATCTGCAGCCCGTCTGGCAAGGACAAGGAAAGCAATTGGCTGCTAATACTTGGCCAAGAGTGTGAAGGCACCCTTGTGCCTCATACACCACTGCTTTGCTTGATCATCGGCTGGTAAAAAGTAAAATCCTTCACTCCTGGTCCAGACCCAGATGAGATGTCATCCAGGCCAGCTCTATCTCTCTACATGTATGCTGAACAAGAATTGGCAGTGTCTTTTGTTGCTTTGAAATTGTGCTCTGATGGGAAATAATTGTTCAGGGCTCACTGGAGGAAGCGATCTCTTGGATTTTATAAGTAGCCTGATCTTAGCAACAGGAAGATTCTGGAAGTGTTGGTCACCTAATCATTCTAAGAATCCTGTGTTTGAAACATCTGGTTTTAAAAGTTTCACCTCTGTTAGAACCTGTAGGATAGCTGCAGTACCCTAGACTCAGAGGATATGCCCCACTGGATGATGAAATATCAACAGCAGCAACTAAACAGGACCGTTCAAGTCCTGAGAACTGAGCACCCCATACTTGCATTGCTCCAGTTCTAGGCAACTAAAATGTCACTGGAGTTACACCACAATAAAAACAAGAGAAACAGCAGTGAACCAGCCCAAGAATTCTCCCAGATAATTCTTTCCCCTTTCTTTTCCACTAGCAAAATTATTTGCAACTGCCAGGGATCAATGCTGTAATTAGCCTTGAAGTGCTGCACTGAAAAGCAAATGCTCTAGCAATCCAAGCAATATTCTGTTAAGTAATTCTACTGGACTGCAGGGCTTGTGGGTGGGATTGTCCCAAGTGAAAAACACAGTAATGCCACAAGGCTAAGTCCTTACTATTTCTTGGAATTTTAGTAACAGCCATGAAGTTCGCTGTTGGCACCTGAATCTTTAGAAGCACTAGGGAAATGAAACAATCAAGCCTCCTCAGTCCTCATGTGATGCTTATTACAATACATGTGGTGAAGAGCTTCATGAATGGATTCCAGAATTTTTAAGCAGAAATGCTTAAAATCAGGTTCATAAATCCACACCTAAATTTTGTTAGAAGGTTATGCTCATTTTCCAATTATCTTGAGCTTTTGAAAAATGCAAATGCTAGAGACTTTTTTTTAAAAAATCAAGGCAATTTATGCAGGTCTTTAATCTGAATTAGGGTCTGCATTTAAGACTATTTTCTAGAATTGTCTACTGTAGACATCAGGACTAGTCCTGTGAGGCTAAAAGAGGCATGGTCTGGCAGCTCTGAAGTGTTCTGAGTTGATCCTAGTTCTCTGGAGTTAAACTACCACAGGTGAGCTGATTAAGATGATGCAGAGATGATTAATGAGGATGCCTTCCATTCTACCAAGTTTGGAAACTTGACCTACATACTGACATGGGATGTTCCCACTGGAAGCACACTATTTCCATTCATCTTAACAAAGTGGTCCATTACTGATCACATGGCATAACTCTTTCAAAACCCTACCTGTACTAAACAATTTCATCTTCAAAAAATCAAGGAAAAAATAAATGTGGGAGACCAGAAAACTGAAGAAAGGCTAGCAAAATCACAGCCATTTTAGCAAGAACTTGGCAGTTTGTGTGAGTTAGAGTGATTGAACACATGCAGAAGTTGTGCCAGCTTCTCTGCATACATAGTGTGTAATATCCACATCCAAAAATGTTGTACTCCATCCCAAGGACTCTTCATTTAAAGTAGACAATGAACAAATTGCACAGTTCTGCTTGCAGTTGTCTTCTTTAGTGTTCAAGCATTTTCTTAAGCCAGAGGGTCTGTTTAGGAGAGCCAAAACTATGTATAATAATGGCAGTCGCAGAACTGGGTGTGAGAGAGCTAGACAGCCTGATGACTTGAAAAAAAATGGGGCATGGGACAGGAAAGAGACATAGTTACCAGGACAAGGACTTCTGCATGTATTAAAACAGCCTGTGCATCAGGGAATGTGTAATTCAGCCACACTGTCCTCTACTGGCTAAGCCTGGATCTCTGAAAACAATGGTGTATTCATGTTGTTGTCATTCTTCAATGCCCAGTTTAAGGCATTTCAACAGAATCATACTTTCAAAGTGCCCATCTCCTTCACTTTGTCTCTCTCTGCCGTCAATACCTTTAAAAACCAAGAAAGCAGAGTCTTTATGACTATCAAAGCTTCATGAGGTTTACTCACCAGCTCTTAAAACCTCTGTCAAAAGCAAGGAAGAGTTTCAAGATGGGGAGTTTCAATCAATTTAGTTTATTGCAAATTAGTGAACTTGTAATTACTGATTTGGATATTAAAAACAAAGCCAAACCACTTAGGGAGAAAGACCTCAGCTCCCCTCTGTACGCTTCTCCTTCCCTCTTTCTGGTCTCAAATCCCCTCACTGTGGGCTGCACTCAGTCCCTTTGGGGAGGTGAGATCTGGTACAGGAGACAGGGGTCAGCAGATGGTGGCTGCTTTTCTATTTCCCCTCCTTGCTTCATGCTCAGTTGCCCCAGGTGGGTTCCTCCACCAGCCACTGACCCATTAAAGTTGAGCCTCCTCCTCTCTGCCCTTGCGCAAGCAGCTTTTCTTCCTCTTGAGATTTTATTTTGCTCCAGCATTCTGCTCGGCCGTCCCTTCTCTCTCCTGCTCTGGTGTGGTTTTCTCTGTCTTTTTTTTTTTTTCTCCTCCTCTAGTGGTGTTGTCTCTTTTTCTCTGTGTTTACCACTCTTTCTTAAACGTGTTTTCACAGAGGTATCAGAAACTCCTCTGGTTGGTTCAGCATTGCAGGTGGAGCTTTCTGCAAGCAGCTGCATCCAGCACAGGGTGGTCCATGACCTTCTTCCACAGAGATCACCGCACAGCCACATTGCTGTCAAAACTCTGCAATTCTGCCCAACACACCTCAAACCACACTTGATAATCAAAAAAAAAAAAAAAAAAAAATTTGCCAACTTCTAGTTTTACATTTTCTCCAATCTGAGGATTTTTTCCTTCACAAAAGCCTTTACATTTCTGTGTACGAATATTTCTGGTATCTTTGAAAAGATCAGCCTGATGAGATCTGAGATAAGGAATGTAAATGAAAGCAGGCTTTCCTACAGCTGGCGGGTGCACATTCCCCAGGCATGCTGCTCTGGAGGGCTTTAGGTTGCAGGCTGACTGCTCTGTGCTCTCTGTGGCTCCCATAGACACCAACAACCTGTATGCTGCTTTCAGGTTCTGGACGACAGCTGAGACCGGCTGAGCCTCCAGGAGATGCTGATGCTGATGCAGATGCAGATGCAGATGCAGAGGATGAAGATTCTGTGAGTTTTTTTTTAGTTGGGTTTATTTTGGGACGGGAGTTTGGCAGTTACCTTATTTACCAAATATTTTGTTTACGGCTGGGTCTTGCTGGTGATTTTTCTCTCCATTAAAAATGTCATATCTCTGCTTGGGATTCTCCTGCCAGATCAAAATCCAGAATGATGCTTCAATATGAAGTGATCTGCTCTTTGCCATGATTCACCAGCATAAGTTTAATACCGAGACTTAGCAAACTATGACGTGGCTGTTGACTACAGTAACTTTAAAGCTTTAGCCAGTTTAGGTTCTCTGTCGTTTGACTCCAGAAGGAAGCATGCCAAGTGCTTGTCAGAGAAATCCCTGCTGGGACTCTTCCATGGCTTGCTTGGTTATAGAGGGCAATAAAGTTTGAAGCTGCAGGATGCAAAGGTTAGGCGTGCAAATAAACCAGGGCAGGGAATTGTTAGTGCCTTTTTCAATTACTACTAATTGATCTGTCAGTATTTTCAGTCTGTTCAGCCCATAGATGCATACTACATGCAAGGAAAACCAAAATCAGCATACCATTGTTTTTGTCTCTCAGGAGCCTGTCACTTGTATTCTTGAGTAACGTCCTTATATAAGAATTGTGTTCTTCACCTAAGGAAAGAGTTATTGGTTATTCCATATCCACCTTTACCAGTTAAAGAATTGTACACAGAAGGAGACTGTGCCTACGTAGAAAAACTCTCCTAAAAATCGGTGTCTGTTTAATGGTGGATATTCCTTTCCCACCACTCATTTCTTTTCCACAGGTTAATGAAGTGGCAGTAGAAGACATCCGTCCAAGGCCACAAGGATCCTCTCCAGTTTATGAATATTCCATAGAAGAAGAATATACAAAGGCAAGACAAAGAGTTTTCATGCAGGCGTGGGTTTACCAAGTTGATTCAAGAGGCTTTAGCTCCTGCAACAAGCTGAGACCCATACATCATGTAACAAGATGTTGTTGCAGCCATACTGTCTTCCTGTCCCCACCAAAATTAGAGCCATGTTTATCGATGGTTTTATATTGTACGGAACATGTTGTTGACCATGTTCTTGTTTCTTGGCAAAAAATGCATTTGACTTCATTCCTTAAAGGACCTCGGGCAGAGAATGTTAAGAAATCACAATGTTTAACTGTCTTGAATCTGACTAATAGGTATTTCAAAATTACCTGGTTATTCACAGATAAAGATTTAATTAGTGCAGTCGTGTAAAGAAAAGTAGACAACAGTTTGAAATTCATGCTGAAGTCAAATAAATAAAAAAATGCATGTTCACAAAAATGAAAGCATGAGAAATGTGCTACATGAGTAACACACAGAAAAGCTCCCAATGTCTTAACACAATTGGTCTCTGCTGTTCATTTATGCAAATTTTGGTACAATGCAGGGAGGCCTTAACATCTAATCTAGTACTGGGAATAATATAGTTAAATTGTTGATGTTGTACATTGCACTTGTAGACTCCAATTTTGCTCTGTTGCCATTAAAGCCAGATTCAGTTCTTAGTCTAAACCAGGGATTTTATCTGATGTAGGACTTTTGTTGTATTTACAACAGCATGACTTCTGAACACTAAATAATTGCAAATTGTTTTTCAGCTTCAAGAAGAAAACAAAAAATATTCTACAGACAAATCAAAACAGAGTCATTCACAGGTCAGTCTAAAAGCACTCCATAGTTTTAGGTATGTGGCTTGCAAAATAGTAAAGTCTGTTACACAGAGGTGGATGGGTGGACAGAGGGAAGGACAAATGGGCAAAGATTCACTTTAGAATTTTTTTGACCAGGAACTTCACAAATTGCATAGATGTGTCACAGGAATGAACACTTGTCCTATTTGGGATTCTTCTATAGTTCTTTTTAGCATTCTTTAGCATTCTCTGGTTTGAGTACAGTACAGCATTAGCTCTTAGTCTGACTTTTCTGGCCCGTTGAATCTAATTCAGGTGCTCAACATCTTCACAGAAAATATAATCTTTCAGCCCTGAAAGATACCATATGTTTCACATTTTAAAATTATAATCTATTTTTCCTATGGCCCTGATCCAGTATAACCTTAACACATGTGCTTAATTCTAATTTAGAATAAAATCAAAGCCGCACTGAACAAGTACATTCTCTATTTTAGACAGTTTTTCTTGAGCTACTGAATATACACCTGTAGAGGCTCAATTTTTTATTGTAGAATAATGTAGAACTCTTTGATACAAATAAATAAAAATTATAAATTCACACCTTTTTCTATATCTAGGAGACAATGGAAGTGACCCTGAAAACAGAAGTGGAAGCTGGTGCTAGCGGTTTTAGTGTGACGGGTGGAGGAGATGAAGGAATATTTATTAAAAAAGTACTTAAGGAATCTCCCGCTTCAAAAATATTTAGTCTGAGAGAAGGTACAGCCTGATTTTCTGTTTTGTTTTGTTGTTTAATATCTTAAAATAATCAGTATGTAGCTCTGTGTGCATATATGTACCTGCCTAATCTGACATCTCTTTAGGTATCAGACATAGTACATCCCAAACCAATTAATGTTATGTGTGAGTTTAAACTTTCCATATGAATAATTTCAAAGAACAGTTCTTAAACAATAACAAAATGTGATTTTTTTTTTTGTATACCATAAAAATAATAATCTGTTTTTCACTGGAACAGTGAAAAAGAGACACAGAAAGTAGTATATACACAACTAAAAAAAAGAACCCCGACTCATTATATTAATGAAAAACCTGGGTTTGACTCTTTCACAAAATAGTATGCCACAAAACTACAACAAATAATGATTTAAACAAGAACAAAAGTCCAAAGTCTAAATACAGAAAAAGGTAAGAAAAAGATTTGTTACTGTCAGAGTTGTCAGACACTGGAACAGGTTTTCCAGAGATGTCGTGGACCATTCTTGGAAATCTTCAAAACCTGACTGCACACAGTCCTGAGCAACAAGCTGTAGCTGACCTTTCGCTGAGCAGGGCAGTTGGACTAGATGATCTCTGAGGTCCTTTCCAGCCTTAACTGTTGTGTAATTCTATTATGTGAACATAATTTCATGTTTTAAATAAATAAAATGTGATAATTTTTTTGGATGGGCATTAAATCAGAAAAACTGTGAGAAAACAAACTAATTAAAATGATGTCTAATTCCACTTGCAGGTGATCAGCTTCTAAGTGCTACAATATTTTTTGATAATATTAAATATGAAGATGCACTCAAGATTCTCCAATATTCCGAGCCATACAGAGTACAATTCAGCCTAAAAAGAAAAATTGCTGGGAAAGAAGAGTTAGAACACGTCCACTCCACAGCCCAGTACAAAAACGAAAGAAAAAGCCAGGTAAATATTTGATTAGTTTACAAAGTTTGGGTAACACTGTAATAATGTGCTGTGTGAAAATAGATGAGAAAATACACACTTGTGTCTTCTTAAGACTTAGGAATGTGTTTAAACTTACTAGCATGAGCATTCATGAGAAGAAAAAAATCCCTCAAAATGTTTGCAGCTTCTTTAATATCCTGGGCTAAACTATAGATTTTGGATAAAGCCACAATCTTGTGTTAGGGTAGACAAACATTCTCTAGTGAGTCAGTTGGGTTTTTCTTGTTGCTAAGTGTCCACTGACAGAAGATAAGATCTGTAACACTTATATTCAATATTTTCCAAAATTTCAAATATTAGTAAATATTTTTCTCAAAAGTACATCAGTGAAATTTTCTCTTCTGTCTTTCATCACTGATATCTCCGCAGATATGATCTGCTCATAGGCCTCTGTCACATTAAAAATGACTTTTCATCCACATACATATAAGTATTATATATATATATTTGTACAGACACATATGTAGAGAGAAAGATATAGAAACCTTCATTTACTGCAATGGTTTGCAAAGACTGTAAACCTTCAGAAATCCACATATTACGGTCATATAATCCATTTGTTTTATGTAATTTCTCCCTGAATTATATACCTCATTTTCAGGAATTTTTTATGTAACAAGTAGGTACTGTGAATAAAAAGCAAATTTTTCTATATATTTTATAGTATATATTTTATTTTGTGTTGCATCTACACTTAGGTGACTTTTAATCTTCTGACTACTATTTGTTCTTTCAGGAAAAAGAACTCAGTGAGAGCATTCCTGAAGAAACACTGCATGTTTCAGGAAAAGCCATTTCAGAAGAAGACAGAGAAACATTAATTGTAAGCCAAAGGGCAGGAAGAAGCAAGAGACCTAAAAAAGATAGATTATCATGGCCAAAATTCCAGTCAATCAAAAATAAAAAGATACTGGGGCACAGAAGATCTCATAGTACATCAGATGCATATGAGCCTGCTATACAGGATATTTCCCCTACAAGCACAGACACAGAGTCCCAATCTCAACAAGAAGTCCATATAAAAGAAAAAAAAGGAAGCCAAAAGAAACTGAAGTTCCCTAGCATTGGATTCAAAATGCATAGATCCAAACCAGAACCACAAGACAAGCAAAAAAAAGAAATAAAAACTACACTGCTGTCTGAAAGAGAAAAAATCCATAAAGAAGGTATCAGCTTGGAAAATCCCGAAATCCTAACTGTTGAATATACCGCATCTCCAGCTTACGAAATTAAAACAGGGGAGGTACATGAAACTTTAACAAAAGACTTAAATGATATGAAAAATGGCATTCCATCTCATGCAAAAAAATGCCCTGAAGTTGAAATAACCATTAAAAAAGAAAAAGAAAAGGAATCAACATCAAAGTTTACTGTACCTGAAGTATCAGCTGTAACAACACAGATATCAACACCCTGCTTAGAAACACCTGATGTGAAAGAAAGCCCAACTAAACAAACACCACAAGCATCATCAAAATCCCGAAAAAAGAAACAGAAAGGAACAGCAGATAAAAGAGTAGGAGAGAGTGGAATTAACATAGACATAATGGGTCACACAGCACAAGGATCTATACAGTTAAAAGGTCTAGAAATAGCTACTGCTAAAACAGAATTACACATGACATATGACACACTGGAAACAGGAGAAAAACAAGCCGAAGAAGACACACATATACTAACAATTCAGAAGACAAAATCTGGGATTTCAATGCCCAAAACAAAAGAGTCAGAGGCTGAAAAAAACAAACCAGGAAGTGATGGTCCACATTCAGTACCAGAAAAAACAGTTGATAAAAGTTCAGAGGATGGCAGGAATTTGGAAGTGAAACCTCACATGTCTGACACAGAATCAGAAGTATCTACTTGGAAAATACAGACACCATCATTGAAAATGGCAAAAATACCTAAAGTTGACATGAAAATACCAAGAGAAGAAAGCACTCTTGAATCAGTAGATACTGTAAAAAAGGAAAAGAGAGAAGAAGATAGTACGTCTGCAAGTGATAAAAGCTTGAAAATGGACATTGGCATGAATACAATGGAAAAGGATATAGAGGGAAAAGAAAGCAAATTCAGACTGCCAAAATTTAAATTACCTACATTTACATGGGCAACTACAAAGGATGAGACAGGGCAAACAGAAGGTAGGCTAAATGACAGGGAAACAAAAATGCCAACACTAGAGGAATGTGCAAAACCAGATTTCAGCATACAAGAAGAACAAAAAAAGTATTCAAAGTCTGAAACTGAAATGGGGATCTCCAAAAAAAAAATAAAGGACAAAGATAAAATGGAAATGCCAGAAGTCCAGATGTCAAGCCTAAAAAGCATAGACACAAAAACTTCCTCAATACAGAACCATGTGGAAGAGCAAGAAGAAAAAACGGCAATTACCAAACAACGTATTGAAAAGAAACCTGGTTTAATATCGAAGAAAACAGGAGAAATACCTCAAAATACACAAGGTGACATCAAAATTCCCAAGGTAGACATCAGCCTCCCGTCCGTCGACGTCACCCTTCCAAAGGCCAGCGTCGACCTGCAGGCGCCCGAGGCGGCCCTCACCCTCGAAGGGGAAGCAAAAGCCCCGGAGAAGGAGGCCGCCAAGACCAAGGACGGCAAGTTCAAGATGCCCAAGTTCGGCATGCCTTCCTTTGGCTGGTCCAGCAGCAGAGAGGCCAAGAGCACCGTGGCCGCTGACGTGGACGTCAGCCTCAAGGAGCCCCAGGCGACGGTGCCCTCGGGAACGGCCGAAGTCGACGTGACCCTGCCCGGGGCCGAGATCCAAGCACCGTCTTTTGATGTTGTCATTGATTCGTCTTCTCTTAAAGAGGATATTGTTGGAAAAGATAAAAGTTCTCTCTTTAGAATGCCTAAGGTTTCCCTTTCTAAGAGTTCTAAACCTCAGACACATAGTAAATCCGTAGTTGAAATTTCCGTTTCAGAAGATCTTTGTTATTCTGTAACGGAAGAAACTCCTGCTGTTATTTCAGGCAGTGTCGGATCTAAACTCACTGATACTAAGGGAGACAGTGGTTCTAAATATACTAAATTCAGAATTCCTAGCTTGGGTTTCTCGAAGGTTGATATTGGTTCTTCTAAAATCGAGCTGGATTCCCCATTACCAAAAGGAGATATTACTCTTACTAAATATCAAATTAATCTAGCAGAATATGAGTCAAAAATATCACCTCTTGCTGACAAGAATCTTTCAGTAACAGATGCTGAAATTTCAAAAGAATATGTTTCTTTGGAGCAAAGAAGTCTGAAGCCAGGAATAAAAACACCAGCTGATGAAATATCTGCGGTTGGCACAGAGTTTACAGTTAAAATTCCTAAATTCCGAAAACCAAAATTTGGAATTTCTAGGTCAAAAGGAAAACCATTAGAAAGTGACATTGTTTCCAAAGTGGAATCTGAAATTTCAAAGGGAAGAATAACACCTGGTATGACTGATATTGATACTGAACAACCAGCTCAGATCTCTGATGCTGAATTAATTGTAACGATGCACAGGCCTTCACCTGAAGTTACACTCAATGCACCAACGCTGGATGTCAGTCTCCCATCAATGGAACTTACCATGCCAAAATTAGAAATCCATGGCCCAGATTTAGATGGCAAGGCAGAACAGGAAGTAGTTTCAGGAGAAAAGGACACTGAGGAGAAAGAAAACACATTTAAAACATCAAAATTCAAACTGCCTTCATTTAGTTGGTCACCAAAGAAAGAAGGTGTTGCTCCTTCTGAAGTTGAGGGACATATGGAAGAACCCACTTTGTCTACTTTATCTGGGGACACAGAATCTGAATTAACATTTCCTACCCCTGAGAATCAATACCTTCATGCAGAATTTGATACATCAACAGAAAAAGATGGTGAAAAGGGCAGAAGCAGGAGGTCTCAATTTATTGTGCCAAAGATTTCATTCCCTAAAATTAAGGGTCAAAAAGTCCAGGTCTCTCTGCCCATACTGGAAACTGATGTTTCTGGTCCCAAACAAGAAAAAGAAGGTGTTTCAGTACAGAAATCTGAGAAAATAAGTAGGGGAGAAGGGGCAGGAATGGGTATAAAAATGCCAAAAGTTACAGTCCCAACTTTGGAATTTTCCAAACCAGAAATCACAGCTCCAAAAATAGAGATGGACATTAGCATGCCTACAGGTGAGGTCATACTTCCTACATGTGAAGAAGATGACCTGGTATCGAAATCAGCTGCTGCTAATGCCAGCCTCTCCACCTCAGATACTAAGATGATAACTGAAGGCTCCCTTGAGGTGAAGAGTCCTGACACAAGAGCTGGAAGAAAATCAAGTGAAATTGCCGTGAGTGATGTAGAAATAAAAATTGAAGGTCCTGAAGGGAAAACAAAAATGTCTAAATTCCAAATGCCAAAGTTTGGAATTACACATTCTAAAGGGAAAGGGTCAGAAAAGGAGGCCAGCCAAACCAAATCAGAAGTCAAGGTTCCCCAAATAAAAGCAACGGTAGAAATAGCTGACATTGCTGTTGAAGCACCAAATTTGAAGGTGGAATGTGGTACAGGTACAGAAACTCACAGCCCTGAAGTCCAAATGACCAAAGCTGACAATAAGGTATTAGAGGCTGACATTCACCTCCCATCAGTTGACATTTCTTTTCCCAAAACAGACAGTGATATTCAGGATCCAGATGCAGCACTTAAAATCAAAGGGGAAATAAAGGAAGATGGAGATGGAGAAGAGAAAGAAGGACACTTCAAGATGCCAAAATTCAAACTTCCATCCTTCAGTTGGTCACCAAAGAAGGAAGCAAGTGTTAAACCAGATTCTGGAGTAAATTTGGAAGATCAGAAAATTGCTGTAAAGTCAAGCAAAATAGACACAGAAGTGAGAGGAACTGCAACTGAAGATAAAGGTACTGGGCCAGCCCTTGATCTGGAAATATCTGCAGGGAAAGTTGAACAAAAAAGTACAGTTAAAAAGCCTCAATTTGTCATGCCCAAAATTTCACTCTCCAAGATCAAGGTTCCCAAATCTCAGATGCATTCACCAAAAGCTGAAGCTGATGCTACTGTTCCTAAAACAGAAGGAGAGGGTGATGATTCAATACAAATACCTGATATAGAAAGAAGTCATTACGAAAGGAGAGAAGGGGCACAAATAAGCATAAAACTGGCTGATGTTAAGATCCCCACTCTGGAGTCTTCCAAAATTGAAACTGGAGCCCCCAAAAGTGAAATGGGAGTCAGCTCAGCAAAGGCTGATGCTGCTTTGCCTCTGTCAGAAGGGAGTTTTCAACAGGTTGTCCTAAAATCAAGTTCTACCGATGAAGATACCATTCAAAAAACAGGTATTAAGTTCCCCAAAGGAGAAGCTTCAATTGAACTGAGGGGCTCTGAAATAGCAACAGAAAGCTCAGCAGTTGTGGATGGAAGAAAGATGAAATTCGAAGGTCCTGAAGGGAAGATTAAAATTCCCAAATTCCAGAAGTCAAAGTTTGGAATCTCCTTAACAAAAGGGAAAGGCCCAGAGACAGAGATCAGCTCTCCAAAAATAGAAGCTGAGCTACCCCAGCTAAAAGTGACAAAGGAAATTGCTGACATTGCTGTGAGAGTTCCAGCATCAGAACTCACATCTGATATGTCAGATCCTGGAGTAGGTGTTTGTAAGATAAAAACACCCCAAAGTCTGACAGCTGGCATTGAAGCCTCAAAGATAGACATAAGCCCCGAGTCAGTGTCTAAACCAACGGCAGAGGGAGCTATGGAGAGCCTTGAGGAGAAAGAAATCAAATTAAAAGAAGAACATGAAAAAAAAGCTGAAGAAGTTCAGATTGAAGAACATCAGGGATGGTTTAAAATGCCAAAATTCAGAATCCCTGCATTTAGCAGGACGTCCTTAAAGGAAAAAAAAGGTGATGCTGATATTGAAAGAAGTATGGAAAAAGCTCATGCAGGCATTCCCTCTGCCGAAGTACAAACTGAAACAAGTATTCCTGAAAATGCCTTCTCATTACCACACACAGTTGCTAAAATTACTATTGGAAAAGAAGGGATTCCAAAATTAGGAGATTCTGTAAAGAGTTCTGATGTTAGCTTGTCAAAGATGGAAGGAGATATTTCGTTATCCACCAAAAGAACAGATAGTAGCATGAATATTCCAAAAAATGAAACTTATGCAGACATAGTTAAGCACGGTGCTGAAGTACAAAAACTGCGTACTTCAGAATTCACAGTGTCTTCAGCAGAATTGTCTAAATCATATCTAAGTGCTTCAGAAATTGAAAAAGAGAACAGTTTAACAAATAGGTTTCCTACGTGTGCTCTGACTCTTCAAGAGTATAAAGTTGAACCACAGGATATAGAAGTCCCAAAGGCAGAAAGTTGCACTAAGTTAGAGACTTCAGGAGTAGGATGTAGACTATCATCAGCTGAAATTACTCTGGATGCAACACAGAAGAAAATAGATGTTAGTCTTCCAAAGGAAGAGCTAGATATTAAAAATCAAGAGGCAGCAAATAAAAAACAAAAGATAAAGGGTGAGATGAAAATTATAGGAAAAGGCAGTGAAGGAAGCGAATTAAAAATGCCTACATGTGAATTGCCTACAACAAAGGGATCAGAAGATGGTGTTTATGTTACAGCTAAGCTGGAAGATGTAAAGGTAGAGGTTCCAGGAGTGAAGATGGATGTTAAAATTGCCAGAGTAGATCCTGAAATGAAATTTCAAATGAAAAGTGTTGAAAAGGACATGTCTGCTGGAGTGGAAGTGCAAGTAGAAGACAGACCAGAAACAAGTAAAATTAAAACATACAAGTTTAAGATTCCAAGGTTGGGACTATTGCATTCAGAAGTGAAGGGTTTTGAAGATGATATCAATTTGCCAAAGTCAGAAGCTGATTCAGTATCTAAAACTGAAATAGGCACAGCAGAAATGCAGTTTCAAAAATCAGAAGGATCTATTGGCCTGAAAAGTCCAGCTCTAGCTCATGTGGAAGCACCTGCCAGAATAACAGTGGAAACAGTGGACAAATCACAAGGTGGCCCAGAAGTAAATATAAAAATTCCCAAACTAAAAATACCAAGATTCACTTTCAAAGCTCTCCCAACTGAAGCTGATATTTCAGTGTCAAAAGTAGTAACAGATCCAAAGGGATCTAGTACTGACATTGAAATAGTGCAACTGCAAGCAAGCTCTGCTATCCCTGGACAAACACCAGATGCTCTGGAGGGTGATATTCAAAAAGCAAAAAGCAAAATTCTAACACTGACTGAACCTGACATTAAAACAGCAGAGATGACTACAACCATAGAGTCCTCCCTTTCAAATATAGGGCAAGACATTCATTGGTCATATGTAGAGGGTCAAGAAGTAAGTGAGAAAGTAGAACCTGAACATGTTGCTATTGAAAGGTGTGAGATTTACACTACTGAAATACTGAAAGAATCAGAGATTCTCTCATCAGAAGTCAAAACTGCTACGTTGGGATTCTCATTGCTCAAGGTGAAGATGCCTGAATCACATAGCAATTTAGAAGTGCTAGTCCAGCAGCCATCTTCAACAGAAGATGTATCAGTGAGCAAACCTACATATGCTGATGAAAGCTTCAGAGCAGCAGCACAGAGGACTGGCAGTGCTGAGCTTAAACTACCTGAAAAACCACAGAGTGAGAGTGAGGGATGTAGTGGAGAAGTAAGTTTGCCCAAGCTAAAAACATTTGCTGCTGAAGCAAAGCCTTCCAGTAAACTTGAAGGGAGTCTTCTCAATAAGTCACCAGAGGGAATAACTGCAGGTCCTTTCTCTAAAGATGAGGATGTAGCTGAAGCACTAGAAGATGAAGAAAAAGACATAACCAATGAAAAAGAAAAGACTGACAGTAAAAGATCTCCTGGAAGATTCAAATTTTGGCTTCCAAATATTGGCTTTTCATCTTCTGGTGATGAAACAAGCACAGATTCAAAAACAGAAGTAAAAAAATCAGTTCCAGAAGATGTGAAACCTGCTGACACATCAGATACTGATTCTGCTAAGCAAACTGAAAAAACCGGATGGTTTCGATTTCCCAAACTTGGTTTCACATCTCCTTCCAAAAAGCCTAAGTCTGTTGACAAAGAAGAGATGGGTCATAAAGAGGGAATAATCTCAGACGAAGAAAGCCCATCAGATAAGCCTGATGTATTTTTTGATGCACAGGAAAGCTTATCACCTAAAGAAACAACAGAGGGTGAAAAAGTTGAAATTGATGGGGCCTCATCCAGTGTTCCAGTTTCTGGAACTATCGTGACATCTTCAGCAAGAACTGAACTAATCTTGTTGGAGGAAGAAAAAGATAGTCAATCTAATATTCCTGGAGATACAACCAAATGAAGATTGTCTTTTCTCAATCCTCAATGAAAATAAAATAATCTACATGTACAGAAGCAATGTTTTCTTAATTTTCTAGTAAGTGAAAATTAAACAAAACCCAAAGCGGATATTCGTGAAAACAGTTGAACAGAATTTACCACATTTAAATGTTCAAGTACATGGATGTGCTATACTGTGCACTAAAACACTGATTTCTTCAAATCTGTCCCAAAGGCAACAATTACTGCAGCTACAGAGGAGCCCATAGTTTTAGCAAAGTCTGAAAAGATATCTGAACCTTGAAAGTAAACCATTGAAAGGCTTGATGATAGCGAAAAGCCTTGTTAATTAGACTTCTCAAAAACATACTGATTATGTTTAAATTATAGATTATTTCCAGAATGGAGTATAAATTAGTGCTACGAGAACTATACTTACCTGTTTAGATTTTGGCATTTTCTGACCTACTTTTGTTTTCTTATTACAATATTTTTCTTTATTTCAGCTAAGGTAATATGTATATTCTACAAACATTTTAAAATGCAAAATAAAACCAAAATACTAGTGTAGAGAGACTAACGCTTTACCTCTTCCTCTTTTCTCATTTTCTGATTATTGTGGTGGGTCATATTTAGCCTTAAAAGAATTTTTTAAAACCCAGCAGAATAAATTCAAGACCGAAACCCATATAACTAACTCACATTTTTAAGATACCAAAACAAAACATGCTGATGAATAACTATTAAGATGTGGATAAATAGATTTTAATGTATATATTTACTGGATAGTTAAATGCACAGAATGATCTGCCACACTGGTAGAATTGCTTCAAAGATTTTCCGGGAAAGGAGATGTATATAATTATTTGCTACTTTGTTTATATTAAATGCTTCTCTCGAGAACGTAACAAAAACCAGAGTGCATATGTAACAGCCTTCACATGTATCATTAAAACACTGTCTGTATTCTTTGTTCACAATAAACTCACCATATGAATAACTTGAGTAGCATGAGTTACTGACAGTGCTGTTAGCATTTTCTAATTCTGAAAATCCCAGCTTAAATTTACAAAAGATTTGAGTATACCCCACTATCCGCTGAAGTGGCTGCTTAATGACAGCACAGTTTCTACATACAGTGGTAGTGGAGACTTTTCACTCGTTACAACCCCGAGTTTTACAGATTTGCGTGTGCAGACATGTTTTTTAACAGCAATTTTCTCATCTTGTGTTTTCTTTCTCCATATTCTACTTAGTACAGGGAATGCAGTCACAGCAAAACATCTAGCAACTGGGTTGTAAAGGAAGTGTACTTGGTTGTCCAACCATCTGTAGCTTGAGGTGTTCTTAATTTCTAGCTCTTTGTGATAGGCTTCAATATTCTAAAGAGAACTGCTGGCAGTTATTCTAAAGAGAACTCTAATTATCTCTGAAGAGACTGTTCACATAAGTGTTAGGCATCTATCATTTATTTGGATCATGCAGCATTTCCCTGAAGTTTCCCCAAGTATAGAAGTCATTGTTCAACAAACCCAAAATTACCACATCAGACAGCATTGGAATATACCAAGACTGAGGAAAATGTTATGATCAAGACAGAAAAATTGAGTTCAGACAAAGGTAATGTATGTAACAAAGGACATCCCATTCTAACAGCAGCTCACATCTGCCTGCAAAGCAGCCTTCTCATAAAATGTTTCTCAGGTAGTCTCCGTTTACTTAGGCCTACAAATAGGAATCCACCTAGACAGCACTGAATGTAGGAGTCTGTCACAAAGGTGACAGAATCGTCAGTTAAAATTGAGCTCTGAGACAGTAGTGACCACAGAGCTATAATCACTATGATGTTTTTGAACGATGAATTAAATAATTAAGGGAAGATCAGGAGAGAAAAGAAGCATCCAAACAGTCTACTGTCAGCTTTGGGAAAGGTGAAGGTTACTGGAAAAGCAATCAGGTTAACAAGATATTACCCAAGGTCTGAGTGCGGGAATAGCTGAGAATAGGGCTCAAAAGGATGCAAGGAGCACAGACACAAACCTGCAGAACATAGATATTTTATCAACAGTCTGACTGACCCCACCTGCATGCTTAGTTTGAGATGCTCAGGTTGTTTTAACTGTGGTAGGTTTTCTTGATTACTGCTACTTATTTTTTAACATCTGAAAAAGTGGGCTGTTCAGCTAAACGTCGACATACAGTCTCCAGCCAAACAAACCTACAACTGTGGTTTGACATGTAAAAGAAAGTATAAACACATTAAAAAGAAAGACACTCCCACCCCGGTATTTGTTACATTGTTAAGACATGAATACATCTCTACAGGTTGGCTATTTTGTGTTATATTTGAAGCAGGACCTCTCATATATCCCAAAGGCAAGAGAGGCAAAATTAATCCTGAATGAGATAATACATGTGAGGAAGAATAGAATAGAATAGAATAGAATAGAATAGAATAGAATAGAATAGAATAGAATAGAATAGAATAGAATAGAATAGAATAGAATAGAATAGAACAGGTCACTGGAAGAGGCCTGCAACTGTCATCGAATTCAACTGCCTGACTGCTTCAGGGCTGACCAAAAGTTAAAGCATGTCATTAAGGACATTGTCCAAATGCCTCTTAAACACTGATGGACATGGGGCATCAACTACCTCTCTAGGAAGCCTGCCCAAGTGTTTGACCACCCTCTTGGTAAAGAAATGCTTCCTAATGTCAAGTCTGAACCTCCCCTGATGCAGCTTTGAACCATTCCCACGCATCTCATCACTGGATACCAGGGGGAAGAGATCAGGACCTCCCTCTCCACTTCCCCTCCTCAAGAAGCCGCAGAGAGCAGAGGTCCATAAGGCAGTGCCGATGACAGAAGAGCTCTCTTCCAGGGGTTAGGGAGATATTTATGACTCTCAAAAATTTGAGTGTACATTGATACAGCATAAACGGTAGATGAAAAGTTTTCTCAGTACCTGGATAAAAGCAACAAAGTCATGATTTATCTGAAACAAATGGGAAAGGAAAATCCTGGGTAATGAGGGAAAAAACTGAAAACAGATAACACTAGAGCTTTTGGAGCAAGCTAGTGTCTAACGTGTGAAGCCAGGTGACACTGTAGTCCTGTCAGAACTCATAAACCTATGGAGCCAGCTCATTTCTGTCTTGCTGCCATCTGCATTGCTGTCAGCAGTGCTGTAGCCACAAGGCACTGCACCAAAACCAAGCGCTCTCAGAAATGAGACTGCCAGGACAGCAGTACAGCAGCTCTGCATGAAAGCCACCCAGGTAAAGCAGGGCCTGTTCACTTAAGTTGTGCTCCATCGTAACACAGGTATGTGAGATTAGCTGATCAGAGAGTATCCATGCTCAAGATCCAAACCAGCAACTTTTTCTAGACATGAATAAACCGATATTGAGAAAAATCTGAACTGGTTGCAACCAAGAAAATCCATCCAAAGACAATAAATAGATGCTAATGAACACTACTGGGGAGGCCCCAGCTTACATTTGGTACAGTCCTTAACTTGAAGAAATCACAATCTAAACAGAAGAGACAAGCAACAGGTGAGTGGATAAGGACTATTATTAACCTTGTTACATAAATGGAAAAGTACTAAGAAACTCAAAGCACGGTTACAATTTACACCGTAGTCTACATTTGTAATAGAGAAAAAGTAAATTAGAATCAATTATGAAGGGGCCTAAAAAGTCTCACAAGAAATCAAGGAAATAAACTCAACTTCCTCTTAGATCTAGTTCATTGTCTAAATCATAAACCGCTCCTTCATATGTGGAGGAAAAACAACACACATAATGCCAGTAAAGAGAATAAAAGAGCACTCTCATAAGCATCAATTTTTACTTTATGAGCTGAACTTTACTCCACACGGGTCTTATGTTACCAGAAGACAAGTCTCCCAGCTTGCCTAGAAACTCTCCCACTGAACAACTTACCCAGCACTGTCAGATTTGAGCTCACAAGTAGAGGAGAAAGAAGTTTTCTTCTTAGTCCTGCAATATCTATCCCCCCAAAACCAGTGAAAACATAGCTTCGAGTGCCACCTAGAGGAGCACACGCCTCTTTAGAAAACATTAATATTGGTTAGAGATGAAACTTCTCAAAAAGATTTTCAAACTGACCCAGCATTCACATGTGCTCATGGCACTGGGAAAAATCTGTCCAATGTCTTTAGCACATGCAAGTATTAATACAGCACGTGGTTGGATATATCTGTTGGCACAAGGTAATAAACTTGTGAAACGGAGCTAATGAAAACCAGCTGGAGAGGTTCTACTTGGCCAGAAATTTTAATTAGTGAATGGAAATCTCAAAATATTAAGCACCCTCTAGAAAGGAAATAGGGGAGGAGAGCATTAAAAGCTCCTGCATCTTCCTCAATATGTTTGCACATATGTGAATACTCAAAATTTTGATGTTATCTGTAAATGTAACTACATGTCTTAAAAATCTGCCTTAATAACAACAAGCATTGGTTTGTAATGATGGATAAAACAATCCGAAGAATCTTGGAAGTGTCTGAAAGACACAGCTAAGGGGCAGCCTGGAAACCAAAAAATGGAAATTTAGTTGGCATCGTCGCCAAAAGACCTCATGGGGAAGAGGCCTTATTTGTATGGGCATAGATCAGTCCACACACAGACGATCACAGCAGGTCCCTTTGCCATTTTCAGCACAGGGCAGAGATTCAAAAAGCACCAAAACGCTTCGTCTAGAGGATGAGGAGGTTGCACCATGATGGGGAAGTCTCTACTCCTGCTACCAAGTGCTGTGTCTGCAGCAAGAGAGATGGGCTCAGAGCCAAAATGCAACTGAATGAGGGCCCTGCCAGGACAGGAGTGAAACCACGAGGTGCCACACGCATTCAGGACAGGAGAGGTCTGCTGCACTTGGACAGCTCAGAGATGGAGTGCCAGGACAGGGGGTTTGCCCGACCCTTCTGTGGAGCCATGGTCTCTCTCACCTCTGCTGTACATCAGTCCCAAAGGAAAAAGTTCATTTGGCGATTACACTTCCAGTGTCAGACAAAGGTGCACAGCCCTGGCAAGGTTCACGGACTCCCAGCCCAGTGTCATTTGCACCACTCCACAGCTGGAGCACATGTCCTGCTTTCCTGTCCCTTCTGAGAGTCACCCAGGGCAGAGACACCATGCAGTGGTGGATATGGACATAAGGCACCAGGTAGCTCAGGTTTATGGTCCCCGTGTGATTTCAGAAGGAAAGGTAGCCCCGAGACACAAAGCTGGTCAGGGACAGCCCTAAATGAACGAGGAGGCTCTCCAAGCACTGCCCACAGTGCAGGTGGGATGCCTTTGCTACACCAACACTCATGCAGCAGCTTTGCCCTACTCCTCCCATCCTATTTGCTGCATGAGGCCAACACACAGACATCCAAACATCCCCAGACACTCAGGGGTCCAGGGCAGCTGAGCTGGAAGCTGGACTCAAAATCTAAATCCCAGGAATTTAACTGGTGACTAGCCTCAATATTTAAATACAGGTATTTCCCTGTGCCTCTAATCCCTACATGCCTTAAAAAAATCTGCCCTCAGTATTGTAGGTTATTACTGACATCGTTCAAATCTTAAAGTGGCTGGGAATTTATTAAAAATATGCTTAAATACATGTAAGCAAACACTGTTAATGGAACATTGTTTGAAATATATAGCTTCCTAAGATAAAATAGCACAGCAATAACGATCTGCATCTCTGATATATTAAGATCTGGTTGTATCTTCCATGTTTGCTACAGTATCAGACAGCTCGTCATATAACACTGTATGCATTTCATTAACTCTGGGATGAGGTAATCACACAAAAAAGGAAACGTCACACACTGACTAATGGTTTTGCAGGTAGAGTCAACTATGAGAAGTTCTTGCATCATCAAAGAATGTGGACACCACGAGGAAGCGATTTCTCTGATAAGGACATAAAGAAGAAAGCTCCTTTTTTCTATTTTAATGTGTATTTCAATTCACTTCAGAGTCTGCCTCTCCAGTTACAGTCTTTCTGTCCTTGTACATCTTCCAGATTCACTGCATATTTGGATTGCCAGTCTCGCTCAAAAAGGTTTTTTAATTGTTCCTGGAGAGGCTGTTGCCTTCTTTGCAGGTTGGTCAAATTCTGTTTGATAATTAGTCCCACGCCAGCTGTATTAATGAAGTAATCTTCCGACCAATTGGAAGTCCCTATGCAATGGAAAAGTAGCTAATCAGAAAACATCCATTTCCCAGAGTTCTGTTTGATCTCCATACTTGTTAAGTCCACATTGCCTGGCTCTGCTGATTTGCTGTACAACTGCAAATCTCATTAGGACCAACAGAGCAGCAAAAATCAGGTCACTTCCTTCTTATTCCAGACCTCGGGTTTCAGAAATTCAGTATTAACTGCAGCCCTGAAGATTCGTAACCTGCTGATTCCTTACAGCCTGTGGCAGAGATGCACTAATCTACTAATTATAAATATGGGAATAGGGTGCCACATTTGGGTATTAAGATGGGTAAAAGCTAGTGTTTGATATGAGTTTCTGTATTTAAAGAAAAAAAAATCCTTAATAGACTTAATTCTCTTTGCTTGTTATGGGGAAACAAGTGAAGAAACTGAACCCTTGTTCAGTAAATCCTCAGGAGCTGTTCTGAGCTCAGCATGCAACAACTGCTTTTAAAGCAGACAAAGCTGGGCACCCAGCTGTAGACATTGTCTAGGTCTCTCTCCAAAGCTACCACAATTCAGAAAACCAAACACCATAAAAAACACACACTTTATCACTTAGCACTTCTGATGATGTTCGCCTTAGCCAGAAAAATCTACTGTCAATTCCAGAAGGTGCTTAGGCATGAAAACAAATTATCTGCATATCTATCTTCAAAAGACAACTCAGTAAGAAAGACCTTCCATTAAAGGCAATTGGAGCTGCAAGTCCTCAGCCCGTTGGAAGATCGGGCTGTTTGCTGGTTTGCATTGCTTGGAGGATGAGCTGACTGAAATGACAGAGCCCTTTCACATTCCCTTTTTTTCGAGGGATCCTAATAAGAGTGAAAAACAAACACCATCCTGATTTTCAGGAACTGAACATTAAGGTTTTCTCATTTCCTTTCCTAGAGTTCTGTTCAACAAACAGTGCGTGGAATTGATTCCTCCCAGCAATTTCTTTTTATTAAAGCACGATAACGTTATATACTAGAGCATCAGCTATCACTGCATCATTCTGAGCACAGTCTGTGAAATTCCTACTGTGCTTGTCACAGACTGTGCACTCAGACTTGTCATGCTCTGTTCTTAATGGTTCATAATCGTATGAAATAATCTTTTACTGAACTTGACCTACATTATTGGCTCCCCTTTCACATCTCACTTCTTTATTCAGGGTAAACATTCTGACGGAGCCATATACTTTGATATGTTTATCTGCTTTACATGACAAAATGAGGTCTTTTTTGACATTGCAGCCCATCCTATCTCAGCCTCAGTCCTATAGATCTGAAGGTACTGTAAGTGTTTGGAATAATGGAGTACATACCAATATAGGCTACTTTATCAGTGACCATATATTTGTTGTGATTCACTCTCCCATGAGGAATATTTGTGTGATTCAGAACTGGAACAATGAAGAGTTTCTGGAGGGAGAGAAATTAAAAACATAAATAGAAATAATATTGAGTGAGGAACCGACTGACTAATTGGACAATGCAGATTTTCTATATTTTCAAAGAATAAAATAGCACAGAAAGAAGAGAATACTCCACACACTGTTATTAAATGTACCATAAAAGAGATTTTACTCTTATCCAAGAAAACTAACAAATAGTACTTCCCCTATACACAAAATTGGATAAGCAATTAAGATCAGATAAGGATAATGTTTGCTTCACAATGTTCCATTAGTGGCACAGCTATTATCATTACAGGGCAGACAATTAAATGCAGTTTTAGGCAGCTGTTTAATAGATCAGCATTTTCCACTGATTGCTGCTCTTATTTTGTGCTAGAATGGGCTGATCACAGACACAAGGGGTAATGCAGGCAACAATAATGCCTAACTTTTTCTGTTAACTCTTACTAAAATCTACTTTTATTTTTTTTTGTTAAAACCATTTCTCTTTACTTCTGTGACATCTCTCTGTCATGGTAACCACATCATTTTGGGAACTTCCACACCATCCCCACTCTACTTCATACATTCCAGTCTAGTGCCTATGGCCTGTGTGTAATATTTAGTGTTCAAAAATAGATCCATTTGTATAGACAGTCAGCAGAGCTCTCAATTGTAAAAAAATTGATAGCAATTAGACCCATTTAAGATATTCCATACAGGAAAAGGTCTATAAGGAGAGCATTAATTTGTCATATAAACTGTTAGTGCCATGGTGCTCAGCAAAAGCGACTGCCTGGGTAATGTCACAACTGGTGCAGCTAGGCGCATCCCTTGATATCACTCGTAGCTTGCAATAGCTGCTTCCTCAAAGATTATCTCTTGGGCCTTACTTTCTCTAGGACCTGAAACAGTCACTGCAACAATGGACAATGGCTTCTCTAAAACCTGGCACTTGCACATGCAACTGGCAGCTTAGACTCAATAACTGGTGTGAGGCCCATATCCTCAAGCTGTCTTTCCAAAATCAGGTTTCTTATCGTACCACGTCAACACTGATGTGGGCTTGTGGGTTGTTGAGAGCACGCAGGGACCTCAGATAGTAGAGCATGGCTGGGTCGGAGTGGGTCCAGCAGCTGACCAGAAGCCGGATTTGTACTCTGTAGTTGAAAGCTGCACGTCTCAGAGCGTTGTCAATGGCTGGCCAGTATCTACAGAAAAGTAGGTGATAATAGGGGTACGAAAAAGGGGTATTTTTGAAAGAGTTCAGTAGCAAGCTGTGACAATAAACTGAGAATACATGAGATGCTGTGCACAGATGGGTTCTCTGATGTCTAGGAAGAGGAACACTTGTGCCTTCACTGAAGGTATAAATAAGATTCCTGCCTTCTACCCAGCCAGTTCTTTTCACAGTGTGTTTTGAGACCTCCAGTCTCTGCCAAATTGGATTGAAACTGGTCAAAAAGTTTAAAGCTCAGTAAAGTGCATGTAAACAGATACACACACAGAGCATGGTGCCATCATGCTTATTTCCTTAGGAAAGTAAAAATAACAATATCAATTCCAATGTAAAGCAGCTCATACAGCATGAAGTAAAAAGGACAGTGCAGAGCCCAGAGGAAAGCCCAAGAGCTGTTTTATAGAATATGGCCATTTCAGGATCCTGGAGACTGTTTCTAGTGTCTGCAGTGGTCCTGTGCCATCAGCCAGCATGGATGGGCTCTGTCCCTCCCCATCCCTTCTTGCCCTCTTTATTATGCCGTGTGCCCCCGAGGTAACACACACACAGCTGTGCTTTCCTGAGCACTGGGCTGTCCGTTTTCCTGACACTTGTGTTGGCAGTAGCCCAGGGGGAGATTTTTAACATCCTTCACCCAACTAGGCAATACAAAAGGCTGGACAACGTACATCCCAGGACTAGTAACGCCAAATGCCCATGTAGCATTTTTGTTCTGTAGATCTTAACAAGTGCTGCATGGAGGAAGGCAAACATCTTCAGTACAGATTGGAGGTCTGGTACAGGGGGAGGTCTGGCACTCACTCACAGTCCCATGAGCAATGATGAATTAATTTGCCTAACTTATTCCTTTTGGTCTTACGTACAAAGGCCTGAATTCTCTAATCCTCCCTCTCACATCATCCTATCGTAATCAAAAGACCGGCCATGTGTTTCAGGCTCAGGCTGACTTGTAGATACCAAAAACACTCGGAAAAACATTACTATTTAGAAATACTATTTTTGAACATTTTCCGGTTTTTAAACATATCAGTTTCTAGTTGATTAACACTCAGGCATTAAGACAGCAGCTTTGTTTCCTCTGCCTCAGCTGCTGGAGGAACCTAACCTGAACTAATCAGCCTCAATTCATTGCACTACAGCTGGTTGCTGTGGAGATAGCCCAAGGCCCTGCGCAT